TCGAATGACCCTTTCACAGGGGTCGCTTAAGACCATCCTGCACATCAGATATTTACATAACAATTCATAATAGTAGCAACATTACAGTTATGAAGTAGCAATGAAAATAATTTTATGGTTGGGTCACAACATGAGGAGCTGTATTTAAAGGGCCAGAAGGTTGAGAACCACTGAGTTAGACTTTATCCTGGGGCAACAGGGAGTTCACTGAAGCTCCACCCTTCCTTATTACATCTGGTTATTAAAGTACTAGTGGCCTGGTGCATGAAATTTGTGCATGGGTAGAGTCCCTAGGCCTGGCCGGTGATTAGGGCTAAGCGGGGCCTTCCGGCTGCCAGCTGGAGCCTTCCTTCCCCAGCTGCCGGCTGGGGCCTTCCTTCGTTTCGTGCTTCCCCCTGGTGGTCAGCACACACCATAGTGAGCGACCGAACTCCTGGACTCCCAGTTGAACTCCCAAGGGGACACTTTATATATTAGCCTTTTATATATATAGACTAGAGGCCCAGTGCACAAAAATTTGTGCACTCGCGGGGGAGGGGGGGGGTTCCTCAGCCTGGCCTGTGCCCTCTCGCAGTCTGGGACCCCTCGGGGGATGACCACCTGCTGGCTTAGGCCTGCTCCCTGGGGGATTGGGCCTAAGCTGGCAATCAGACATCCCTCTGGCAGCCCGGCAGCCCTCAGGGGGATGTCCACTTGCCAGCGCTGAGCAGACCTAAGCTGCAGTCGGACAGCCTTAGCGCTGCTGAGGAGGAAGGAGAGGCTCCCACCACCACCACTGTACTGGCAGCCATCAGCCTGGCTTGTGGCTAAGCAGAGCTCCCCCATGTGGGAGTGCACTTACCACCAGAGGGCAGCTCCTGCACTGAGCATCTGCCCCCTGGTGGTCAGTGTGTGTCATAGTGACCAGTCATTCCCAGTCGTTCTGCTGTTAGGGTCAGTTTGCATATTACCCTTTTACTATATAGGATAGAGGCCTGGTGCACAGGTGGGGGCCAGCTGGTTTGCCCTGAAGGGTGTCCCGGATCAGGGTGGGGGTCCTGCTTGGGTGCCTGGCCAGCCTGGGTGAGGGGCTGATGGCTATTTGCAGCTGGTCACACCCCCTTCAGGGTGGGGGTCCCCACTGGGGTGCCTGCCAGCCTGGGTGAGGGGCTGGTGGCTGTTTTCAGGCTGGTCTGCGACTGAAGCTCCCAGCCTCTCCTTTTTTTCTTTTTTTTTTTATTCTGGGATTTATTTACCTTCTATAATTGAAACTTTGTTGCTGTCACTGGAGCTGAGAGCTGGCTCCTGCTCGCTGCAGCTCTGAGGCCTTGGCCTGCTGAAAGCAGGTATCTCGGGTTTGTTTAGCTTCTATAATTGAAACTTTGTTGCTGTCACTGGAGCTAAGAGCCGGCTCCGTGGCCACCGCTGGCTGAAAGCAGGTATCTGGGGTTTTAGATTCTATAATTGAAACATTGTTGCTTTCGGAGCTCAGAGCCGGGCCGCTGCAGGCAGGGAACCTTGGCTTCCTCCATCACTGGAGCAAGCAAGCCTCCTGCTTGCTTCAGCTGCGTGGCTGCCGGCCGCCATCTTTGTTGGCGGTTAATTTGCATATCTCGCTGATTAGCCGATGGGAAGCGTAGTAAAGGTACGGTCAATTACCCTTTTGGTCTTTTATTAGATAGGATATTGTGCTTATTAAAGAGTCAGATAATAGAGAAAGGTAAAATAGATGAAAGACAGACAATCAATGAAAACAAAAGTCACCTGTCCTGTACTTGTACAACTCAAGAGATAATTTCTACTTTCATTATAATGAGGGAGGCAGCAGAGTATAGTGGTGAGGAGCTCATACCCTGGACACACACAACTGGAGTTCAAATACCACTTTTACTATCTGGACAAGTGCCTTAACCTCCCTAAGATGCAGTTTATTCAATTATATAGAGTTATTGTAATTCTACCTCATGAGATTGGAAAAACCAATGAGGTAGTGCAAGTACAATAGACTGAAGCTAGTGCCTGACATATCTTAGTACCTAATAAACATCAGATATTATTATTGCTATTTTTCCCCTGTGACTTTTTAATTTTAATAGTCCATTCCCTAAATTTACCTAAAAACTTGTAATTTACCTGAAAAAAAATCCCTATTGATGACACTGTTTTTTTTTTTAATAATTATAAACAGTATTATCAGTATCCTTGCATAGATATCCTTACACATATATATATATGACATTCTGACAAATATTACTAACTCCTAAAGGAATGTGCCAAGCCTATATAATAAAAGGATAATATGCAAATAGACTGAATGGCGGAATGACCTAACAACCGGTCACTATGACGTGCGCTGACTACCGGGGGCGCATATGGAACATGGTGGGCGTCGGCTGTGGCGGGATGGTGGCGCAGGTGAGCGGGGGTGCCAGACCAAGGCGGGATGCTAGTTGCTGTCATCGGGACGAGCCTCTGGTGGTTACTGAAAATTCTTTGCTCCCGCGTGCCGTGGTCCCACCCGGCACTTGCACCTGCTGCCGGCACTGGCCCCGCTCACACCCGCTGCCAGCACCGGAGCCGCCATGCGCACCCTCTGCCAGCGCTTGTCCTGCTCACACCCGCTGCCGGTGCCCAGCACTGGTCCTGATCACTCAGCGCCATTAGCAGGTGCAAGTGGCAGTTGCCAGCCCCTATTGCCCCTGAAGGCTTCTACACCTCCCCCTGCTCCTGAGGAGTGATCGGGGCAGCAGCTGCCGCTTGTACCTGCTGCTGGCGCCAGTCCCAATTGCTCCATGCCATGGTGAGAGGGGCCAGGTGGGGTGCGGAGGATGGGCCGAGACCCGCCCCTGTGCCCACTGCAGCCTCGCAGCCCACAGTTCCTTTCAAAGTGCATATTTTGTGTACTGGGCCCTTAGTTTATATATATCAACCAAAAATGTGTGAGTTTGATAAGGTGGATCTGAGTGAGGTATGGGTTTATACGGTTGCCAAGCATAGGCTGTCAGAACCTGAGAAGGGTGAAGAGGACATCCTATAGGGCAGATGGCCCAGGTTGGGGTAGACATGCAATACACACACAGGAAGTCCATGTGGGGTGTCAAAGCCTGAGCAGTATGAGGAGGGCATCGGTGCAGTGGGAAGGGAAGAGCAGTGGCCTGGCATCAAGTCAGAACCTGTTTAGGGTAAAGGAAGACATCAATGCTGAGGGACCGCGGTGGGATCACAGGAGTCAGAGCCTGAACAGGGTGAGGGAGCCCATGTGAGAAGGATGAGGGTAGCAGCCTGTCACAGTAGTGACGAAGGCATTCACACAGCAGGGTAGCCTGGTGTAAGGTGCAAAATGACCGAGCCCAAGCCAGATGCAGAGGGTGTGGGGTGTGGGGCAGTTGCAGCATTGGGGGACAAATCAAACATGTTGAAGATAATGGGAGTTAGGTTTCTCAGAGAAGGAAATGATAAACATGAAAAGGGAGAAAGTCAGAATGAACCCTGTGGAATCTAATTGAAAGTAGAGCTACTGATACGAATTCATGGTTTTCCATTACATATGGATACATATTTAATGTAATAGAAATTATATATTTAAATATCAATTTAAATGTTTTAATGTCTAAATTATAAACAACTTTTACAAATAAGATTAATTTGGTAATAGGAATTACGTATTTACATACAAATATTTAATCTTGTAAGACTTTAGCTGTCAACATGTGTCCGTGTATGTGTGTGTGTGTGTGCGTATACTTCCTAGCTCTCTTTTGGGAGTATTAACATCCTAATTGCAATGAGCACATCTATCACTCAAATCTTGAGTTTCTAAATGCCATTCGCTACTAAAAAGAAGCAAGTCTTTAGAGAAATGGCTGATTCCAGGGCTGGGGCAGGGAAAGCACAGAAGCGCCGGGAACATCTGTACCAGAGGAATGAAGACATGCTCACATGATGGGGTCATGTCCAAGGGACAAAGAGCCAGCTCAACAGCCCAGTCTGGGATGTTTTCAGCATCCAAATATGAGGATGGATTATAACCCAAACACAATAGGTAACCATGAGTTCATACTGAGAAAAAAAGAGAAAATCGCAAGTTTAGTGAGAAAGCATTTCCCCACAAAATTAGAGAAAAAGAGTAGTTTAGTACTCACTACCTTAATCCGCTAACCCAGATTAACATGACCCAATGGGACAAAGCCGTGTATACGCTGATGAAACACGAGAGCCGAGCATGGCTCCCGTGCGGTTTTCCGTCAGCTCGCGGCTGCACCCGGCAGGCGGACGCCCGAGCCCGCGGCGCCCGGGGTGGGTGCGCTGATCTGTGCGCTGAAGGTTTGGGTTGGAGTCCCCGTGGGGGCGGGGGGCAGAGGCAACTGATGGATGTTCCTCTCTCTCCTCCCCTCCTCTCTGACATCAATAAAAAATAAAGTCAACTTGTTGGCAATGTGACAGGAGAAAGGCTCCCCCTTAATAAAGGGCGGTCACACCCTGATTCCCCTCCGACCCGGGAGTGAGGGGCCCCAAAGTATCCTATATTGATAGTTTCCAATTTATAAATTGATTGTATTTAAAAGTCATACTAAATTGATTGCTGTTAGTTATAAATATTTTCTCCTTGGGAATTTTGGGGTTGGTTTTTTTTTGGTTAATCTTTACCCGAGGGT